AACGTTAACCACGCTTTGTACTACAATAGAAAAATATACAGGGTGTTCGGGTAACCCTGGGAAAAATTTTAATGCAAGATTCTAGGAGCCAAAATAAGACGAAAATCAAGAATACCAATTTGTTGACGGAGGCTTCGTTGAAAAGTTATTAACAATTAAATTCAAAAATTTCAAAACGGTTTGGAAAAATTATTTTCGGTTGCGGGGGTCAATTACAATCATTTTTGGTCATTACACATACCCTCGAAATCGTACGCATTTTTGAGAAAAAAATTCGAGAAGTTGTGAAATTTTTCGACGAAAAACAAAAATTTCAAATCGTTTTGGAAAAATTATTTTCGTTTTCGGGATTCAATTACAATCATTTTCGATGAACATATAAACCCTCGAAATCCTGCGCATTTTAGAGAAAAAAATTCAGAAAGGCGTCTAAATTTTTGGACGAAAAAAATGAATTTCAAATCGTTCTGGAAAAATTATTTTCGGTTGCGGGGGTCAATTAGAATCATTTTTTATGAATACGCATACCCCCGAATTCCTATCCTCTTTCGAGAAAAAAATTCAAGAATGTGTGAAATTTTTCGATAAAATTAAAAAATTTCAAATCACACTGAAAAAATTATTTTCGAAGGCAGGGGTCAGGAACAATCATTTTTGGTCAATAGACATAACCCCGAATTCCTAACCATTCTCGAGAAAAAAATTCCTGACCGAAAATATAATTTCAGAACAAAAATGTCACTCTTGTATATGCGATGCTATAATGAATAATGAACTATAATGACTTTACATGAAAATATATAAACAAATTATAATTTATCAAATTAAGGTTGTGTTAAATTAAAATATCTTTTGTTTTTTTTTTGTTTTGTATTATACTGTTGTTATATTGGGATACAATGTTGGTACCACTTCTATACAATTGTTATGTTAGAATACAATGTTGGTACACTTGTATGTTGTTATGTTGGAATACAACGTTGGTACCACTTGTATAGTGTTATATTGGAATACAATGTTGGTACCACTTGTATAGTGTTATATTGGAATACAATGTTTGTACCACTTGTACGTTGTTATGTTGGAATAGAATGTTGGTACCACTTCTATACAATTGTTATATTGGAATACAATGTTGGTACACTTGTAATAGTGTTATATTGGAATACAATGTTGGTACACTTGTATGTTGTTATGTTGGAATGTTGGTACCACTTGTATGTTGTTATGTTGCAATACAATGTTGGTACCACTTGTATAGTGTTATATTGGAATACAATGTTGGTACCACTTGTACGTTGTTATGTTGGAATACAATGTTGGTACCACTTGTATAGTGTTATATTGGAATACAATGTTGGTACCACTTGTACGTTGTTATGTTGGAATACAATGTTGGTGCCACTTCTATACAATTGTTATATTGGAATACAATGTTGGTACACTTGTAATAGTGTTATATTGGAATACAATGTTGGTACACTTGTAATAGTGTTATATTGGAATACAATGTTGGTACACTTGTATGTTGGAATGTTGGAATGTTGGTACCACTTGTATGTTGTTATGTTGGAATACAATGTTGGTACCACTTGTATAGTGTTATATTGGAATACAATGTTGGTACCACTTCTATACAATTGTTATGTTAGAATACAATGTTGGTACACTTGTATGTTGTTATGTTGGAATACAATGTTGGTACCACTTGTAGTGTTATATTGGAATACAATGTTGGTACCACTTGTACGTTGTTATGTTGGAATAGAATGTTGGTACCACTTCTATACAATTGTTATATTGGAATACAATGTTGGTACCACTTCTATACAATTGTTATATTGGAATACAATGTTGGTACCACTTGTATAGTGTTATATTGGAATACAATGTTGGTACCACTTCTATACAATTGTTATATTGGAATACAATGTTGGTACCACTTGTATAGTGTTATATTGGAATACAATGTTGGTACCACTTGTACGTTGTTATGTTGGAATACAATGTTGGTACCACTTCTATACAATTGTTATATTGGAATACAATGTTGGTACACTTGTAATAGTGTTATATTGGAATACAATGTTGGTACACTTGTATGTTGTTATGTTGGAATGTTGGTACCACTTGTATGTTGTTATGTTGGAATACAATGTTGGTACCACTTGTATAGTGTTATATTGGAATACAATGTTGGTACCACTTCTATACAATTGTTATGTTAGAATACAATGTTGGTACACTTGTATGTTGTTATGTTGGAATACAACGTTGGTACCACTTGTATAGTGTTATATTGGAATACAATGTTGGTACCACTTGTATAGTGTTATATTGGAATACAATGTTTGTACCACTTGTACGTTGTTATGTTGGAATAGAATGTTGGTACCACTTCTATACAATTGTTATATTGGAATACAATGTTGGTACACTTGTAATAGTGTTATATTGGAATACAATGTTGGTACACTTGTATGTTGTTATGTTGGAATGTTGGTACCACTTGTATGTTGTTATGTTGGAATACAATGTTGGTACCACTTGTATAGTGTTATATTGGAATACAATGTTGGTACCACTTCTATACAATTGTTATGTTGGAATACAATGTTGGTACCACTTCTATACAATTGTTATATTGGAATACAATGTTGGTACACTTGTAATAGTGTTATATTGGAATACAATGTTGGTACACTTGTATGTTGTTATGTTGGAATGTTGGTACCACTTGTATGTTGTTATGTTGGAATACAATGTTGGTACCACTTGTATAGTGTTATATTGGAATACAATGTTGGTACCACTTCTATACAATTGTTATGTTGGAATACAATGTTGGTACCACTTCTATACAATTGTTATATTGGAATACAATGTTGGTACACTTGTAATAGTGTTATATTGGAATACAATGTTGGTACACTTGTATGTTGTTATGTTGGAATGTTGGTACCACTTGTATGTTGTTATGTTGGAATACAATGTTGGTACCACTTGTATAGTGTTATATTGGAATACAATGTTGGTACACTTGTATGTTGTTATGTTGGAATGTTGGTACCACTTGTATGTTGTTATATTGGAATACAATGTTGGTACACTTGTATGTTGTTATGTTGGAATGTTGGTACCACTTGTATGTTGTTATGTTGGAATACAATGTTGGTACCACTTGTATAGTGTTATATTGGAATACAATGTTGGTACCACTTCTATACAATTGTTATGTTAGAATACAATGTTGGTACACTTGTATGTTGTTATGTTGGAATACAACGTTGGTACCACTTGTATAGTGTTATATTGGAATACAATGTTGGTACCACTTCTATACAATTGTTATGTTGGAATACAATGTTGGTACCACTTCTATACAATTGTTATATTGGAATACAATGTTGGTACACTTGTAATAGTGTTATATTGGAATACAATGTTGGTACACTTGTATGTTGTTATGTTGGAATGTTGGTACCACTTGTATGTTGTTATGTTGGAATACAATGTTGGTACCACTTGTATAGTGTTATATTGGAATACAATGTTGGTACCACTTCTATACAATTGTTATGTTGGAATACAATGTTGGTACCACTTCTATACAATTGTTATATTGGAATACAATGTTGGTACACTTGTAATAGTGTTATATTGGAATACAATGTTGGTACACTTGTATGTTGTTATGTTGGAATGTTGGTACCACTTGTATGTTGTTATGTTGGAATACAATGTTGGTACCACTTGTATAGTGTTATATTGGAATACAATGTTGGTACACTTGTATGTTGTTATGTTGGAATGTTGGTACCACTTGTATGTTGTTATATTGGAATACAATGTTGGTACACTTGTATGTTGTTATGTTGGAATGTTGGTACCACTTGTATGTTGTTATGTTGGAATACAATGTTGGTACCACTTGTATAGTGTTATATTGGAATACAATGTTGGTACCACTTCTATACAATTGTTATGTTAGAATACAATGTTGGTACACTTGTATGTTGTTATGTTGGAATACAACGTTGGTACCACTTGTATAGTGTTATATTGGAATACGATGTTAGTACTACTTGTATGTTGTTATGTTGGAATACAATGTTGGTACCACTTCTATACAATTGTTATATTGGAATACAATGTTGGTACACTTGTAATAGTGTTATATTGGAATACAATGTTGGTACACTTGTATGTTGTTATGTTGGAATGTTGGTACCACTTGTATAGTGTTATGTTGAAATACAATGTTGGTACCACTTGTATAGTGTTATATTGGAATACGATGTTGGTACACCTGTATGTTGTTATGTTGAAATGTTGGTACTACTTGTAAGAGTGTCAATCTTGGCAGCACTGTTACAAACTGTATATATTTAAAAAAAATACGTTATTATAAATTGATAATCGAAAAATATAGAAATCCTTCTACATCCACATATATAAATACAGAGTGCATATTCTAAACTTTCATATACATACACTTATATTTTCAAAAAAATTAAGTTGCTTACGTAGAATTAAAAAAAAATATTTGTTTCTAACCCCCTTTTTGTACTGGCTTTGGGTCTCATATAACACGGTTTCAAACAACACGGCATTTTCTAGGAACCTATCTACCGTGTTATAGGAGGGTTACTTGTATTTAGGAAATGTATGTACGATGGTATAAAAACAATTTCTTTGAATAAATTGTAATTTATTATACAACTTTTTGTAGAATCAAACATTGTCTATCGTGTCGTTCGAATACTTTCGTTACTCACTGTATATTAGTATTGTCTACTTTATTGCTAATAATTTAACATGATGTTCAAATGAGAGAAAAATATTTTTTGTATTTAGAAATCTTTCGTACACACTGTAAATATTCATTTTAACATACACAGTGCAAATATGACAATTCTTTTTACTCTGATACGACAGAATCATCTATCCCATTACAATAAAAATATGGTCAGTGAAAAGGAAAAAAAAATTTGACTTACTTGACTTTGGCCTACTCGGTATGTAGCTGGATCAACATCAACTGTGAGCAACATGTCTTCCACGGCGCGTCGTTCGTCGGCTATGGGACTACCCGGTCGTGCGTTAAAATCAGTTGATAATAAACTGAATCGTCTTCTGAACTCACCTAAGACCATATGCTTAGGAAATCCGACTTTATGCAGCCGGACAACATCGATTATTTGACTCCCACGAATCTGCATAAACATACGGTACACTTCAAATTAGAAATTTTATAATATCGGTCAGGATTGCAAATATGGTAAATTTCTGTTTAACACTAGATTGCCCAAGGAAGTCATTTTGACTGCTTTTTAATTTCAATTAGAAAAACAATTATGTATATAATGACACAATTTCTTAGAATTTTGTGACTTTTTGTACAACATATAAATGCGTTTATTAATAATTGTAGTTACCTCTCCCCTCCTTCATTTCCGGTATATATATATGTGTTATACCTATATTGCCCAAAAAAGCAGTCATTTTGACTGCTTGGGAAATTTTAAATAATCAAATCACTCTTATTATTGAATTGAGTAAATTTCTTATATGACCAGTTCGACTCTGTATTGAAATAACAGTTTTCATTTTTTTTCGATTACCAACACATGATAACATACAAGTACATGATAAATTGTCGATTTGGGCTTACCTAACCCAGACCTAACCCAGATCTAATCCAGACCTAACCCAGACCTAACCGAGCATAACCCAGACCTAACTCAGACCCTAGATCTGGGTTAGGTCTGGATTAGATCTGAGTTAGCTCTGAGTTAGGTCTGGATTAGATCTGAATTAGATCTGGGTTAGGTCTGGTTTAGGTCTGAGTTAGCTCTGGGTTAGGTCTGGATTAGATCTGAGTTAGCTCTGGGTTAGGTCTGGATTAGATCTGAATTAGATTTGGGTTAGGTCTGGTTTACGTCTGAGTTAGCTCTGGGTTAGGTCTGGATTAGATCTGAGTTAGCTCTGGGTTAGGTCTGGGTTAGGTCTGGATTAGATCTGAGTTAACTCTGGGTTAGGTCTGGATTAGATCTGAATTAGATCTGGGTTAGGTCTGGTTTAGGTCTGGGTTAGGTCTGGGTTAGGTCTGGATTAGTTAATAATCCAAATTATCTTAACCCTTTGCACTCCTATGTCGAGTGTGATTCGACATCAATTTTGATCTCAGGAGCACCTTCGTCAAGTCTCACTCGACATTCTTTCAAGCCCAAACCAAACAGATATCATACACTTGGAAATTACAAAATACAACAACAGTGTAAATAAGACACTTATTTTAACAGGTAAATTTCAAATAAAACACTTAAAAGCATTGTTCGTCAAGTCCCATTCGACATTTTTTCGAGTCCAAACCAAATCATACACTTGGAAATTACAAAATACAACAACAGTGTAAATGAGACCTAACCCAGACCTAACCCAGACCTAACCCAGATCTAATCCAGACCTAACCCAGATCTAATCCAGATCTAATCCAGACCTAACCCAGATCTAATCCAGATCTAATCCAGACCTAACCCAGACCTAACTCAGATCTAATCCAGACCTAACCCAGACCTAACTCAGATCTAATCCAGACCTAACTCAGATCTAATCCAGACCTAACCCAGACCTAACTCAGATCTAATCCAGACCTAACCCAGATCTAATCCAGATCTAATCCAGACCTAACCCAGATCTAATCCAGATCTAATCCAGACCTAACTCAGATCTAATCCAGACCTAACCCAGACCTAACCCAGATCTAATCCAGACCTAACCCAGATCTAATCCAGATCTAATCCAGACCTAACCCAGACCTAACCCAGATCTAATCCAGATCTAATCCAGACCTAACCCAGATCTAATCCAGACCTAACCCAGATCTAATCCAGATCTAATCCAGACCTAACCCAGACCTAACCCAGATCTAATCCAGATCTAATCCAGACCTAACCCAGATCTAATCCAGACCTAACCCAGACCTAACTCAGATCTAATCCAGACCTAACCCAGATCTAACTCAAATCTAACCCAGACCTAACCCAGACCTAATCCAGACCTATTGATAAATTACAGGTTCTCAATAAGCTAAAGTAGTACTTGTTATTCGAATCTTTATGCAGTGATACTTGTTCTAACAAGTTGTTTATTTTATTTCTGCGCCCTAAATTCATAATATCATAACATAATATTAAAAATTAATATTAAACAAATTTCTTTACACATTAGTTATTCTTTCACGATGCGGTCATTTTGACTGCTTCTGGGCAATATAGGTATATACTAAGTTTCAGTCTTTCTAGCGTTAAAATCGAATCGTTCTCTTTTCAAAGTGCCTCGATTTCGTAAATATGCACACAGATTAAATTTCTTTAGTTTTTCACTGATACCATCACTCTTTTTCATAATATTTAAAACATACACAGCCACGTGCAAAATTTTTTTTTTCCAAATCGGAAAGAATGTTTAGATTTTTAATTCCCAAACTAGCCCCTTTAACTCTTTGCGGCACAGAATTTCAGATAACAAAATAGACCCACGTTGCATAGAAATTTTATTGCGTTTTAAATTAAACAAAATTGATAATTTTTTTTATTAATAAGGTTATCACATAATGTAAAAACCAAAAAAAGTAGTAATAATTGTCGCAATAAACCTTTCGCTTGCAACGATTGATGAACCTATCATGTTGGAGGTTGCCAACACAAGTGAATATATTTGTAACATTTGTTGAAGATGTTACCAACTGCTTTACGTAAATAAGATGAAATATAAACCCTATGCGCATACAGCTATTGCAATATTTCAAGATGGGACTAACAATGTCCCACCATGCATTACAGTGCGTCAAAAAGGTGGGACACTTTTAATCCCAGGGTGCCCCAAAGAGTTAAATAGTGGTGACGGTTTAAATATTTATCAATAATTTCATACGATAGTCTTTAAATTAAAATACAACACTCTTACCTGTGAGCGCAGAAGAGGTACATTGATTACATTGTCTTCGCTTTGATTCGACTTCACAGATAATAAACTTTTATTGTCGATACACCCAGAATTGTGTTGCGGCAACACACAGTGGATAAATTTAACTCGAGTTCTCCGCAATGTTTCAACGAGTCCGTCCTGCAAACATTTATATCTTATATTTTATTCTTATTCTGCGCAAACAAGATCAAACGAATCAAGAACAAAAAATAAGCCTCACTTTTACCGTGAATAAACGAATAACAAAAATAGAAAATTACACCACAACAACGTACGTCTTAATTCAATTGAATATTTTCAATACGGTATACTTGTTTATATCACAAAAAATAAATTTCAATTTCAATTACTCATAAACTCATATTAACACATTGACTGACATGATACTTTTATCGTACTACCATTTGAAAAACAAGTGCAAGCGGGATTTTCCTTAAGAAAAAACTACAGCTTGTCTAAGTTTCTCGAATCGTTTTACATATTCCATTCTTATGTTTGATATCACTATGGTTTGCATACTTACTACAGTAAATTTGACCTGCAAGCAAACATTTTTTCTCTTCACAGCCGAAAATGTTCGTCGAATGCTCGAAGCTCGTCTTAACGATTGCGAACCTTCTAAACCAGGCATCGAGTTACATAAAGTTCCAGAAACTCCAGCTCCCCGGGCACTTATGAATAGCTTGCTTACATCTTCTCTGATATCATAATAAAATATTAGAGGTTATTGTAACACTGAATTTTTCATGTATGAACTTTAGGAAATAAATAGCCTCGCGATAAATTCTATCATTAACTCTGTAACGCTCATATTTTTCGGGTTAACCAACAATGATCAGTTTTCTTTATTGGACTTGTTTCTAAAAATATGGTTTTTTTTTAATTACAATGTTGTATCTAACGTAACAAATATTATCATCCTTTAAACCGTTGGATTAAACAAATATTGTTTTTCAAAGCAGTCAAGACTCGGGCATGAAGGTTAAGGGGTTAATTTCACCGGATACAACAAACAAACACGGATAAACCCTTTAACCCCTTTCCTTACGATTTAATTTCCAACTGTGCGTGCCAAAAGCGACACCAAGGTTTGGCCCAGTAGACTTGTCACGTCTCTGAGACGTCTTATTCATGTTTGGCCCGATAGACTTATCACGTCTCTAAAACGTTATTGTAAGCTAAGGGGTTAAAATGGGTAATAGATTATACAATTACAGAAAAAAGCATCCATACATCGCAATACGTTGAATTCAAACAATAATAACTTTGATTATAGAAGGCTACTTAGCAATGAAAGGCACATATAAAGTTGGGAAATTAATTCAGCTTTCAAATAGAATGAGTTTGATTATGACTTAAATAAAAATACAACTGACGAATCTCAAATGCCGAATGAAGAAAATCAGCGTGAAAAAAGTATTCATACGTGATATCTATTGACGAAATACAGAAATTATCACTAATTATTTTGGATTAGAATAACGAATAAATAACCTAACCCATGACCATGTTGAGAATTCTACCGACTTTATGCTTTACTTATGCTTTACTAGCTAATAATTATTACAAAAACATTAGCACGATAAACTAAATAGTAAAACTTGCTTAATATAAGACCCAATACGGAAATTATCACTAATTATTTTGGATTAGAATAACGAATAAATAAACACAGTCTGTCTCTCGTAGCGGCCATCTTGGCACTCGCCCGCCTGTGTTTCGATATAGTCGACGGGGATTCACCTGACCGATGCATGCCTTTGATCGCTTATTGCGTTAATTGTATATCGTATTTGATGTCATTTTAATCAGAAAAGTGTCACGAATATGTCGATGAAGTTTGAAAAAAATAAAGATGAATTTCGTTGTTGATTTAATATTGTATATGTACTAGTTAAATCGTGTCATAACTTCGGTACATGTATGTATGCATCGCTCGTTTACTGCAGTAGTGATATGACTCGAAAAGATACAACTTGCGAATTTGAACTGTTTAACCAACTTATTTTACGCCGAGTTGTCTCACGATTTCGGCAAATAAATGATAGGTAAATTAAATTACAATTCCTTTTTTCAGATGAGGATACACTTTAAGGAAAGGACAAATGTATATTATAATTTATGAAAAACAGTAATAAAAATTATGTTGTACTTGATCTTAGTTAAATCAGAAAACTGTCACAGACATGTTAAAAGTTTCAAAACAGGGAAAGGAAAAATAAAAAATTTGTATTATTGCACTGGTGTTGCCTTAGTAATTTGAACCCGTATCGTATGACAATGTTCGACGACCGACCGTCAAGCGCGCCGCTATCTTGGGGAATCACCCATAGGAAGGCACACTCGCCGATATAGGGGGCGCTGAGTTCTAACGGTACGCAGCGGAGATAAGTAGAGGGGATACGATATTTGCCTATATCGCGGACGAGTTCCGAGCTTATATAGAGAAAATACTGTAAAATGAAATATTCCAGAATGAATAATAAATAAAACTTTTAACTGTTCAATTCAATAAACATCATGCATAAATTGCTGTATGTTAGTTTTTGTTCATTATCTATTATTCGAATAACATTTTGACCATCTTTGGAGAGTATCAGCATATTATCGAATAAAATATTTGTAGGTAATTTAATAACATTGTGATCACAATATTAATATTTCAGTTAGGTTAGTGACACGTACTAATAAACTTGATGTTAATTACATGAATTTCATACATTAGTATTGATTAAAAGCTCGCTTTAGATTTTGATAGAGAAAATACTGTATTTAGTAAGCAAAATGCCTGCTCCAGAACGATTTTATTTTTGTTTTTAGAGAAATCCCCTAAAACTGGTCCAATTTTCAGACGGCCATAACTCCTACAATAGTAAAGGTATCTCATTGAAATTTTTTTCTGAGGCAGAACCCATCGATACCTACAAAAAAGTATTAAACAACTTTTCCGTACAGCTTCAACCAAATTTATTAAAAATGAAAAACAAATTTTTAAGAAAAATCGACAGGGAGAGTATTCTTGATTTTCGTTTTATTTTGGCCTCTAGAATCTCCCATTAAAATTTTTCCGCGAAATGGCCGAACACCCTGTATAAATTCCAACATTATTAGTTTAATTCACGTTTTCGTAAATCGAAACCACAACAATCTCTTTTTATTTGTAGCCACATACTCGGGCATAAAATTCATGCATCGTTGATAGGATTTAAGGCGAGGCTATGTATATCTTACGAATTATTTTTAAACAGAATGTGACATACCTTGTACTTTCTTGAAGAATTGTGATAGCACTTTTTGTAACAGGATTTTCTCGTGTAGCCTTAAGCCAACCAGTCGCTGTGTAGAGTACAGGATTAGTACCCAATAAATGTTGTAAAATAAACTGATTGTTGCCAGGTGCCTTTCTTAAGAGCATTTGATAATCTATAAAAACAAGAAAAAAATAATTGTACACTTTTTATCGCCGGTAAGCTTAAAACATCGTGATGGTAATATTTTAGCACCTCGATCGCCGTAATGAGAAAATAGTCGATCCAGAAACGTCTCGTCGCTACCCCCAGAACAGACTGTCTCTTCGTCCAATAGCCATAAAAGACCCTTACGTTCGATCTGTCTACTTCCGGTAAGATCATTCTGGCTAGTTCGTAACATTGTGGCACCTTGAGAACTCCCACGATCTAACAGCGAAACCAAACCTTGAGGCGATCCAATTCCAACTTCGTCACACTCATCTTCATAATCTACATCAATTCCTTCTTGGACGTACCTAAGTTTCAAGAATACCAACAATATCAATTAACTATTAACATTAGTAATATTGTTGGAATAATATAACATAATATCTTGTGCTACTGCTATTGGATGTTGTTACAGTACAAAGCATTTTTCTAAATATTTTAACAGTTGAATAAAGTCTGCTGAAGCCAAACACCGGTATGAATGTATTGCGTGTGTGAATGTGTGTGTGAGTGGACTGAGGCATGAGATATTTGCCGCAGGTTGGCCAGTTGGCTGCGACCAACGTGACCACGTGGACGGCGACTTAGTCCCATGTCACTCATGTCACTGGGCCGAGGGCGCTGGTGACCAGTGATGGCCACTCGTGGGAATTTTGGTCATGCGCACTCGAGCACTGCCGTATACACTTAACTAGTAACTTTAACTAAAACATGGGAATCCCCAACATGCACCTCTTTTTGCGCTAAAGACACATCTATGACAGAAAGCTGACGCATGCGCAAAAAGGAATCCCACGAGAGAAAATTCTAGTGCGCATGTCCAAAATTCCCACGAATGTCCATCACTGTCTGTGATGGCTCACTAGAGTTCCCCATCCCCCGTTTTAGGCGATAAAAGTCCGGCACTACCCGGCGGCCCTCCCAACGAGCATTTATTTCTAACCTCGATGGATATTTTGGTGCTTAATATTTCGTCGAAATTTTCGCAAAATTAAAAAATCATAATGGTGAATCACCATGGGAATGATCATTTGTACGATATTATAAAGCACTCGCGAACGCTTTAGTAAATTTTACATGTCTGAAATGTATTAATTCATGTTACGTTATTTAAAATAAGATAACTTAGGTATATTCCTAGCAAACGGCCCGTTCACCGATCGGGGTGATTTATACGTCATTCGATTCGTCTAATTCAATACATTATTGATATGCATTTCATTATCTGTGGAAATTCGTTATTTTTTTATAAACTTGTCGTAAAGTTACAGTAAAAAAGTAAGGTTAAGTATATTTTGACAAATCCACAGGTGGAAACAAGTGACTGTCGTTACTCTGTTCAAAATGCTAGGTAGTCAAATGCTAATTTGTTGAAGATTTATTGAATGAAATTTCTACTATTTCTGCTAATATTTCATTGAATAAATCACCATTTTTCTATTAGGTACATTTACTAAATACATAATGGCTCAGGCATTCGATGAAGTTACTCTTCTTAAAAATATAAAATATTGATAGTAATATATGTTATAAAAAAGATTTAAAAATGTGTAGCATGCCTCCAAGTGGTTTCAATTTAATTCGTGTAAGCATCGGTAATGGGATCTTCAAAACTGACGCTGTGATTAATTTTCAAGCGACCTCTGTGATATTTTCTATGACAAAATGTTGATTCATCGATCTCGACAATCTACTCTACTCTTCCAATCGCTGAGCAGTATTTTTATTTAATTTTAGTTATATAATAATATGACATTGCTCATAATTATATGTTAGCATATATGTTAATTTTAAAACATCTATAGCTGAGTTTGTTTTCAGAAAACCATGTTCTTTGCTTTGCAAATATCTTTATATTACAATGTCTTTTACGTTTAGTTTGATCGACAGATCCTGGAATAGTTATCCTGCATTGCCAATTTTCATAACATTTCCACATTGCCGATAGTACAAGAAACAGAAGAAAAGCAGAAATTGTTTCAGTAATCATTTGTTTCAACTGTCATTTCTGATTTTCATCTGTTTCTTGTACTTTGTGAATTTTGTTCAACCGTGCTATAAAAATGACCGAATTAGTAGTTCCAGAAGTGTGGACCTTATTTAAATTGCACGAATTTTGTAAAAATAAAGAAGCTTTATTAAAATTTTTGCAAGATAAAAAGTTGATTGCCAAAAATCTTAATTGTCCACAGTGTGGAAACGTAATGAAATTGGACAATGAAAATTGGCGTTGTAGAAAAACAATTGCAGCATCTCTTAGTGCTTGCAAACGAAAGCGAACTTGTGATGTAAAAATATGTGTAAAACGTGGAACGTGGTTTTCAAAAACAAAGCTTTCTTATGAAATGGTATTAAAATTAACTTACATGTTAGTCCATAATTTTGATCAATATCAGATCGTACGAGAATTACAATTGAATAAAAATACTGTTTCTCAATGGAATTATTTTGTAAAACAATGACTGATTGGCTACAACATTCATGCGAAGTTCTTGGCGGACCAGGCAAAATAGTAGAAATAGACGAATCTAAGTTCGGACGAAGAAAATATCACAGAGGTCATCGTGTAGAGGGACAATGGGTTTTTGGAGGAATAGAAAGAGGAAGTGAAAAAATATTCCTGGTGCCTGTTGAAAGTAGGGACACAGAGTCCCTGCTTTCAATAATTAAACAATGGGTGTTACCTGGCACAACAATTATTTCAGATTGTTGGAAAGCCTATAACATCTTAGAGAAAGAGGGGTACAAACGTCTTACCATAAATCACAGCTTACATTTCAAAGACCCAGAAACAGGCGCTCATACAAATACGATAGAAACTACGTGGAGGCATAGTAAACACTTTTTGCCTGAATATTGTCGGTTAGTATTTGTAATTTTGCACGTTTTTTAATATTTTCTGTAACATATAATACCATAAAATTTTCTATTTTTAGCAAAAAAGATAATTTCATTCGGTATTTAAGCCACTATGTATTTTACAAATTTTCCAAGCAAGGAAAAGATGATTTATTTAACCAGCTATTAAAAGAAATTGCAGAAATTTCATTTGATTCTACAGAAAACCAAAATATACCAGACCTAGATGATAATGACATTTAATAATAAAAAAAAGTTAATCCAACGCACTGCATTTATTATATTGTCTACCCATGAACACTGTTAAGGTATGATTCCACTGAGGCAACGCTATGCGACCTGTAGCATGCTACTTGTCATTAACTGACGACATTACTCGACATATTCAATCTTGTCGATTCGACAGAACAATATCAAATAATCCTGTATTTCTTTATTTCGGAAAGGAAACAAATGAATGTGTAGCAAATACACATGTCAAGTGTCTACATAACGTCGATTTCATGGTGCATGCGTCGTAATCGCATGCGACATGTTGCCTCAGTGGAATCACGCCTTTAGAGGAGGGTGGCAACATTTTTTACTGTTTTTTTTTTTTATTATTATTATTTAGCTTTGTGAAACTCTTGTGAGAGTTATATAGCTAAACATGAATTTAACAGTTTACAAAAGTGATTATAAGTGGTGTGAATAACTTAAATTTGTAAGTTACATTTTTTAGAAAAATGATATATATGAATACATGCTACAATGATGATAATGAAATTTAATAATAAGAAAAAGTTAATCCAACGCACTGCATACAATAGTAATTTATTATATTCTCTACCCGTAAACACTGTTTGGGGGGGGGGGCAACATTTTTTGCTCTTGCTGCATACACGGTCTACCTACAAGTACTGTCTGAGTTGGTCTGGGTTATATGGGGGGGAAATTGTTGCGGCACATAATGTCTACCTGACCGACTCATGCAAAGTCTATCCGTAACAAAATGATTTTTATGCATACGCATTCTACAAATTCCCATTCGGCAATGTAGCATTATCAAATTAGATCAATCATTTATATTTGTAACATGAACATAACAACGATAGTCACTTGTTTCTATCTGTGAACCTGTCAAAAAATGTACCTAACCTTACTTTTTTACTGTAACTTTACGACAAGTTTATAAAAAAATAACGAATTTCCGCAGATAATGAAATGCATATCAATAATGTATTGAATTAGACGAATCGAATGACGTATAACTCACCCCGATCGGTGAACGGGCCGTTTGCTAGGAATGTTCCTTCTTTATAACTATCAAATGTATACGAATCCCAATATTGACAAATATTTTTACCTAGATAACCTGCATTCGCACAATGATTCCAACTTGGAACATTGATCTAACGTGAGTCTCACATTTAATTCGAAAATCAATCCAGTAAACTGTATCTGTGTTCTCATAATGATTTTGTTTAAAATAAGTAAGTGTTCGGTGACTTATGGACGAGAGAGTGTATATCGTCGGTCATACGTGATAACACCGTGTTTAATGTGTTAACAGGGAAATAAGCCAATAAAAAGTCACGTGACTTGTATTTTCAACTATTCCAGAATGCTAAAAAGTCCCATCAAGATCGATCATTATCGCTTTAGATAATACCCCTGTAAGTAACAATACTACTTATTTGATTATAATAAACACACCTGTCCTTCGGCGCCATCAGTGTCGTATGATGGAAAAGCAGTTGCAACCGTTCGTGTAAATAATTATGACAAAGGTCTTCGAAGCATGATCCGGTTTGCCTTCCGCATGTGGCAGGATTCTGAAAACCTGGTGAATCACAAAGCAATAAAGTTGCTACCGTGTGTACAGAGGATGATATGGATCTGTGAATGCATAAAAGACAATATTACTAACATCATTCTTTGTTCGTTGTTCTATAAATGAAAAGGGGCACACCTATTAATAAGAGCTGCGATGCAATGGAATATTTCAGAATAAAGCCCAATGAGAAGACCTTCGAGAGCGTCAAAACCCGTTATGTCCTTACTTTGCTCTGTAGGACTTGGCGTCCGAAGAGCGGGTCTTGAAGTATTTGGTGTACCAGCACCACCTCCATTAGGGGAAAAGACTATTCTAATCAGTTCTTCGACAGTGGTACCTAACAGCGTAGCAGCTTTCTCTGCACATTCCACTTTTGCGAATTGCCAACGACTCTGAGAACTTGTACCGACTTTAACAGCACCGGCGCAACTCAGATGATATATACTAGTAAGTACCAGCCAAATAACTTTCTCATCAGCTTCAGAAATACCGAGAATCCGGAAAGCGGCCACGATCCGATTGAATTCCACCATGGCTCGTTGTTTGTCTTCGTGCTTCTGAAGAGGCGTAATGAACGGATTATTTTCAGCGACTAAATTAGTGAGATGCAATTCTTTCCTTAAGGCACCCTCAGCACCTGCTAGCAAACGGTACATCGCATGGAATGTTGGATCACCGTTTGTCCTTTTCCCTATTCTTGACTTCTCCAAAAGTAGCACCTTGTCAATAAAATACATACGATTCCATCAGTATCTTAAAATATTTAAACCACGAATTAAAAAGGCTTCGCAAATAACCATTAATAATTATTATACTAAAGCTTTGATCGCAGTCATTACGAAGAACCGAAATAATATTATAACTGTTACGAGTGGAAAAGATTTCAATCGATATCAATTCGAACCAATATTAATTTAAATTGTCGACAATGTCTACATCGACATGATTTCATCGACACAGAGTTTCATCGATAGTGTTCAAATAACAACGTATTGAAAGTACTAATGAATGTTAACTCGTTTGGATTTTCAATGTTTTCTTCTGCGGATATTTCTTCCTTTTCTGCGTTCACAGCAGTTTTGAAAAATTTAGTAGAGATTTCTTTGACGCATTGACTACATTACTTACAATAGCAGCGTACATATTTTGACATAAAATATCACAGTAAATATGAAACGTTTGCTAATTTCATATGTGTGCCCAGCGAAAGAACACGATACGTTTCGTATACAACTTATTTTATTTAAGTTTAAATACTTGTCGCTCTTAATGAAAGTAATGAAAGATTATGTATACAAAGAATGCGGTGTCAAAAAATCTTCTCTATTAGACAAGCGAACTGAGGATGAAATCAGGGAAATAGACTGTTGATTAACACTTTTTATACGAATGTTAATTTTGTCTTTGAAATTTTCAGGACAAACATAGCTAACGACAGCATGTTTTACGTTTCAACATAATGAAAACACATGATCTAGAGAGATTGCAGTTAATCGGTTAAATTACGTAATGGTTTTGGAATTCTTCGAATCAATGGCTGACTTTCGAAATGAGAAAACTTTAATTTGTTGGTACATACATACGTGATGAAATAACTGGATTACCTGCAAAGAGGCAGACGCTATTTGCCCAGACTGATCGAAGTCTAAACTGAAAAGTTGTGTGAAGCGTGTTGCATTTGAGTTCATGTGTGTTCTACTGTTTCCAAAAGCTTCCAAAACTGTGAAGACGGCGTTCAGTTTCTCGGTAGTCAAGACCTTTGGAAACAGAGTAATTGATATAAATTATAAAAACTAAAATTAAATTATTGTAAAAATAAACGTTTTACTGGAATTATTATGTAATCGAAGGATTCACAGTTTCATAACATTAGAGAAGAGTAAAATTGAACAAAATTTATATTTTTATAAAGTATACAATACGGGATCTTATTTATTTTAAGTAAAAATTATGTAATAAGAGACGAGTTATTAAATTTTAACTGTAAAATTTATTTTACTGTTATATTTGATATTAAATTTTTCATCTATATTTTTGTATCTTTGTTTACGATGAAATGGAACATATGCAAGAGAAATAAATTGCATTGAAATCTGTAAATTTCTAAATTATCATTATTATTATTTCATCGAAATTCATGAGTCCTATTTAGATTCATTGTCCTTAATATCTCGTCTTAGGAATTAATTTTTGTTATCCCTTATAGAAAAAAATGCAGTCACTTATACATGTACAGGGTGTTCGGCCACCCCTGGGAAAAATTTTAGATTCCAGAGGGCAAAATAGGACGAAATTCAAGAATACCAATTTGTTAACTGAGGCTTCGTTAAAAAGTTATTAAAAAATTAAATTACAAAATATCAAATCATTCTGAAAAAATTATGTTTGGTTGCGGAGGTCAATTAGAATGATTTTTGTTGAATACAGATACCACCGAAATCCTAGCCATTTTCGAAAAAAAAATTCGAATATGTGCTGAAATTTTTCGGGAAAAAAATTTGTCAAATCGTTCTAAAAAAATTATTTACGGTTGCAAGGATCGATTACGATCATATTTGGTTATTATACATATCCACGGTATCCTACGCACTTTCGAGAAAAAAATTCTTTACCGAAAATATAATTTCAAGCCAGAAATGCAAATGTTTAAAATATCATAACTTCTGAACGGATTGGACGATTTTAATGTTTCAAAAGGCAAACAACGCGTATTTAGATGAAGAATATACAGAAATCGCAAAAATATTCGAAAAGTCGGTCATTGACCCCGCAAAATGAAAAAAACCCCATAAAAATGGTCCAATTTTTAAATGGCCGTAACTCCTACAATAGTAAATATATTTCCATGAAACTTTTTCCTGAAGTAGAGATCATGGATACCTACGAAAAAGTATTAAACAACTTTTCTGTACAGTGTCAAACAAATTTATTAAAAATGAAGAACTAATTTTTAAGAAAACTTCACAGGGCGTACGTAGTGCCTAAATTTTTCGGCGGAAAAAAATTTCAAATCGCTCTAAAAAAATTATTTTCAGTTGCAGGGCTCGATTACAATCATTTTTGGCTATTACACATACCCCCGGAATCCTACCCACTTTCGAGAAAAAAATTCAGGTAGATGCTGAAATTTTTTGGCGAAAAAAAATTTTTCAAATCATTCTAAAAAAATTATTTTCAGTTGCAGGGCTCGATTACAATCATTTTTGGCTATTACACATACCCCCGAAATCCTAGGCATTCTCAAGAAAAAAATTCGAGAAGATGACTAAATTTTTCGACGAAAAAAAAATTTTTCAAATTGATCTAAAAAAATTATGCACGGTTGTTAGAGTCGATTACAATCATTTTTGGTCATTACACATACCCTCGAAGTCCTACGCATTTTCGAGGAAAAAATTCCTTACCGAAAATATAATTTCTGGCCGGAAATGTCTGCCCGAATTCTCATGCGAACCATTAAAACGTCATAACTCCTGAATGGATTGAAGGATTTCAATGTTTCAAAAGGCAAACGACGCGTATTTTGGTGGAGAATGTGCAGAAATTCTAACAATATTGAAAAAGTTGTTCCTTGGTCCAGTAAAAAGTGAGGGAAACCTCATAAAAATGGTCCAATTTTCAAGGAGCCATAACTCCCACAATAGTGAATATATTTCAATGAAACTTTTTTCTGAAGTAGAGCGCATGGGCACCTACAAAAAAGTATTAGGCAACTTTTCTATAGGGCGTCGAACAAAATTACTAAAAATCAAAAACGAAGTTTTAAGAAAAATCGAGAATTTGTAAGAAATTTCTCGGCGAAAAAAAAATTTTGAATCGTTCTAAAAAAATTATGTACGGTTGTTAGAGTCGATTACAATCATTTTTGGTCATTACACATACCCTCGAAGTCCTACGCATTTTCGAGGAAAAAATTCCTTACCGAAAATATAATTTCTGGCCGGAAATGTCTGCCCGAATTCTCATGCGAATCATTAAAACGTCATAACTCCTGAATGGATTGAAGGATTTCAATGTTTCAAAAGGCAAACGACGCGTATTTCGGTGGAGAATATGCAGAAATTCTAACAATATTGAAAAAGTTGTTCCTTGGTCCAGTAAAAAGTGAGAGAATCCTCATAAAAATGGTCCAATTTTCAAGGAGCCATAACTCCCACAATAGTGAATATATTTCAATGAAACTTTTTTCTGAAGTAGAGCGCATGGGCACCTACAAAAAAGTATTAGGCAACTTTTCTATAGGGCGTCGAACAAAATTACTAAAAATCAAAAACGAAGTTTTAAGAAAAATCGAGAATTTGTAAGAAATTTCTCGGCGAAAAAAAAATTTTGAATCGTTCTAAAAAAATTATGTACGGTTGTTAGAGTCGATTACAATCATTTTTGGTCATTACACATACCCTCGAAGTCCTACGCATTTTCGAGGAAAAAATTCCTTACCGAAAATATAATTTCTGGCCGGAAATGTCTGCCCGAATTCTCATGCGAATCATTAAAACGTCATAACTCCTGAATGGATTGAAGGATTTCAATGTTTCAAGAGGCAAACGACGCGTATTTCGGTGGAGAATATGCAGAAATTCTAACAATATTGAAAAAGTTGTTCCTTGACCCAGTAAAAAGTGAGAGAATCCTCATAAAAATGGTCCAATTTTCAAGGAGCCATAACTCCCACAATAGTGAATATATTTCAATGAAACTTTTTTCTGAAGTAGAGCGCATGGGCACCTACAAAAAAGTATTAGGCAACTTTTCTATAGGGCGTCGAACAAAATTACTAAAAATCAAAAACGAAGTTTTAAGAAAAATCGAGAATTTGTAAGAAATTTCTCGGCGAAAAAAAAATTTTGAATCGTTCTAAAAAAATTGTTTCTAGGTTCTGAGGTCAAATGCAACCATTTTTGGTGAACAGACATAACGAAACCTCCATCAACAAATTGGTATTCTTAATTTTCGTCTTATTTTTGCCTCTAAAATCTTCCATTAAAATTTTTAAAATGGCCGAACATCCTGTATATGGCTGAATGGCAGTGAACATGCTAATTACGTGGTGGTGTATAATTTTGTCTCTTACAATATTTTCTAAAAAAGCTTATATCGGTAATGCAGAAGTACTAACATTTTTATTTACCTTATTAACTGTGCCTGCAGCCAATACAAGGTAATGAAGAACATGTTTAAAGTTTGTGGTCTTGCCTGATCCACTACGTCCGAGAAAAACTAAGGAATGGTCCCTTCGTGTCGCTAACATTCCTTTATAGGCTGTTTGCGCCATCGCGTAAACATGCGGTGGCATATCTTCAGTCTTACATCCCCTGAACATCAGCGCCACCTTAAACAAATTCGAATGTTTCGGTTATAAAAAAAAAACATAATATATATTAAGAGTAGAAATACTGTTACAACGAAAACATACATTACTTTCATATGCATAGTGCTCAACGTGATTAAGTATACCCGCGTATGCGACCATAGAATGTGCAATGTACTCATAAAATCTATTACGTTGGTGTTCAAGCAAATGAATTTATTTCCACAATACTAAATTATCAAACAAAAAAAGAAATCACGAAATTACAGAAATATAGTATAGATCTAAAACATCGAATCGTTAAATAATTTCAGCAAACGATGTCGAAAAAAAAAGTGAATCAATTTAAAACGGTCACTTGCCTTTTCTGAGTAAATCGCCAATGGCACTACCGGATTGATAATGATCATACTATCTCCCGCATAAGTGTGTATTAAATTACTAGCATAGCGTTGCCTCAGCGTGTGAAGAACGGAAGATTCATTTAAGAACCGTAAACGCGAGAGCTCCTCGGCCTTGTCGAACTGTGGGGGATTAGCCTATGGACAAAATTAACAATCAGTCTGATTTAAATGTTTTATTCGAGACGTTAGAAACTTTTGAATTTGCTATTATTTAATGATATCACTTTGAAGTTCAACGATACCTTTTCGACATCCTCTTCGTCGACAAGAAGCTCATCCCCGGAAGACACTAAACGAATTTTCAATTTTCCCGTATCCGGATCTGCTGAATTGTACTTTGTCGCAAGAGTAAAGCCACCTCGATGCAACAACCAAATAGTTTCGAAATTTAGCCATGCTTGTTCTTGCGCCAAGTGCTCCTCTGATCGTGCCTGGCAACAAAAAGTATAACCTATATAAAACACTGCATGATGAATAAAATTACTACAGTATCCAGAAAAAAGTGTCGATACACCATTAGAAACAAAATAAATTATTTGGAAATGAACGCAACTCTCAAATGAGATAATATTTTATTAAGATTTAAGTATTTTTAAGAAAAATTTTGATGGGAGATTCTAGAGGCAAAAATAAGACGAAAATAAAGAATACTAATTTGTCGATTGAGGCTTCGTTTAAAAGTTATTAACGTTTAAAGTTCAGCTGCGCGCGCATGGCTGTCGATACGCCACTGTCGCGCGCACGCAGCTGTGCGCAGGTTGCCCATCCACAACCGCAACTTTAAACGTTAATAACTTTTAAACGAAGCCTCAAACAACAAATTGCTATTCTTTATTTTCGTCTTATTTTGGCCTCTAGAATCTCCCATTAAAATTTTTCCCAGGGAATATTTAATAAAATAGGAAACATAGAATTAATGAAAAGATGTTCCCCAAAATTAAAATACGATGGTACTTTTTAATGTTACGTAATCCTCGTAATACGAGACGAGACTAATTTTGTTAGTTTTTACGAATAAAAAAATAGGAATAAGTAGGGGAAATGTGTTGCTACGATTAAAAATAAAGCACCGATCAGAATACTAACCATACTATCGTCAAACCGCGAACTTCCGCGATGATAAAGCGTGCCGCTTCGAGAGCTCGTAACTGAAAGCTCGGCTTGACTGTCGGTAGCACCGCGTCTTGATAATTCTGAAAGTTCTGCAACAGGTTGAACCTGAAAAAGAAAGAAAATTCTGTCCTAATTGCATTTTTTCTCAAATGTAACTCTATAATTTTAATTGGACTATTCGATGCAGTTTTTCAATCTCTACAACAAAATATTAATGTACATATGCCCTCTAAACTTAATAGTTCAATAATTATACTTGAAAAGTAAAGTATAGAGAACTATTAATTGTTTAGCAACCTTTGAAGTAGTATAACTTTATAACTATAATGTTAGGATAGGGGCATAAGTCCCTTAATATTTTCTTGTAGAGCACGATCAAAATTGAAGTTCCATTTAAAAAAAAGATGCAATTGAATTTTTTAGGTTCAACGATTCCTAAAAATGGGCAAAATTACATTAAATTTTTGCAACGATGCTGTTTAATTTTGTCTTATAATATTGTTTGTATCTTCAACTGTTTTAGAGATATAATAGAACCTCCGTTATATGAACTCCCATTTTGTGAACATTCTAATATATAAATGGTCTATTATTTGAATGTTCTATTCATCGAACAGTATTTCTATTGCGATACTGTATGTAAACATAAATATTACTTCTATGCGATGAATCCTATTAACGATTCGTTATGAAAGTGAAAATTCATAGTACGTGCAAAATTATATTGTAATGTCACCAAAACAGGAACGTATAGAATCAGCAACAACTGAAGACAAATGTAAAATATAATGTTACAAGTATAATACAACCTATGGATCAAGATATGATCGAGTGTCTTAAACGACTATAGAAGAAGGATTTACTTCAAAAATCTTTGCTAAATGTAAATGTGATTACTGGCGAAGATGTAATTAGGATTCATGAAAACTTAAATTTAAAAGACGCCAGTAATATAATATGCGATGCCTGGTTGAACGTGAAAAACAGAACGTTGAAAAGAGCATGGAATAAACTTTTGCTGTGTGAAATTTTAAGGTTTTAAAATTGTTAATTTTCTAAGAATTCTAAGGTGCGATGATCGAGATAAGTCCAGTGCAACAGAATTGTATCAACTCAAAATTACAATAATCGAGTATATTCTTCCAACTAAGAGTTGGAACGAACGAATTACACCTTTCTTCTTAGATAGGCCCAATAAATATTTATACAAAGTTTCATCAAAATCGGAGTGTATCAGTTTGTGAAGATTCTAATATATAAAGGTCCTATTATTTGAATGTTCTATTCATCGAACAGTATTTCTATTGCGATACTGTATGTAAACATAAATATTACTTCTATGCGATGAATCCTATTATCGATTCGTTATGAAAGTGAAAATTCATAGTACGTGCAACATTATATTGTAATGTCACCAAAACAGGAATGTATAGAGTCAGCAACAACTGAAGACAAATGTAAAATATAATGTTACAAGTATAATACAACCTATGGATCAAGATATGATCGAGTGTCTTAAACGACTATAGAAGAAGGATTTACTTCAAAAATCTTTGCTAAATGTAAATGTGATTACTGGCGAAGATGTAATTAGGATTCATGAAAACTTAAATTTAAAAGACGCCAGTAATATAATATGCGATGCCTGGTTGAACGTGAAAAACAGAACGTTGAAAAGAGCATGGAATAAACTTTTGCTGTGTGAAATTTTAAGGTTTTAAAATTGTTAATTTTCTAAGAATTCTAAGGTGCGATGATCGAGATAAGTCCAGTGCAACAGAATTGTATCAACTCAAAATTACAATAATCGAGTATATTCTTCCAACTAAGAATTACACCTTTCTTCTTAGATAAGTTTAATAAATATTTATACAAAGTTTCATCAAAATCGGAGTGCATCAGTTCGCGATGTTCCCTTGTTAGATGGTTTGAGACTCAAAAAGAATAATAATAACTTAGAATTGAAAAGGTTATGTAATTGAAGTGGCGAAAGCATTTGGTTTCTATAATTTTGTTAAAAAGGAAGAAACATTGAATATTATTGTTTCTTTTTGATTTTGTAATCATTTTGTTTCATTTTATCTTGAGTATTAACCCTTTGCGGTCGGATTAAATTTGGAGATGGGTATCGTACTGGTCGGTAGAGCAGGGATACATAACACGCAAGTTTACGATGTATAAACAAGATTTAGTAATTCTTTTGTGAACTTCAGATATATCTTTATTCAATACACTCATCTTGTGATATGTTTTTGTATAAAAATTATGTTTTATAATTCTCCTTCGTGCGATATTTTTCAAAACACTCTCCAACATGCCAGGCCAGGTTTTCGAGTGCATGTATCGCATTTTGGGGAATTATTTTGGAATATTTTAAGAAGAGAGAATGTCTAATTACTGTTAAATAAAATATTCTTTGGAATTCTACAAGGTATCGTCGAACGTTGTCGATTTCGCTACGTTCAAAAGACGACTGACTCGCCACTGTGTCTTGCATTGCGCTAAGTCACAACTTTTGTGTACATTAGATTACGTTATCTCCAATTGATGGAGCACCGTATTGGTTCGTGAATAGGTCCTTTAGGCATTGAGGTTCGTATAGGAAAAGTGTAAACTGATACATGAATGCATACAGTATACGATTCGTATAGTTCCTTGCTGTGGTGGCTGAGAGCAGACATACGACCGCAAAGGGTTAAATCAAAGTAAATGTTAACAGTTTGTTCTTTTATCGTATAAAAATTCTCTTATGCTTTTGTCGCCCAATTAATTCATATAACAGATATTCTACTGTATAGCTTTTCCCAGTTGAGATCACCTGTTTAGTATTATTTTAAATCTTACCCGTACGGTGACGCTGTTGGCAGAACGCTTGATGAGGTCTATGATTTCCTCGCGTGATTTATCATCAACGTTAATCCCGTTCACCTCGATTAATCGATCACCAGGCAACAAACCAGTATCATTATTGTTTTGTATCAGTGAACCAGGTTCCGCGAATATCACCGATCTCATTTGCATAACACCACTCGCCCCTCGTTCGACGATCATGGCTCGGCGCAATGAAAATCCGAAATCGTTACGTGGCGGTGGTTGCCTATGGATTGTCAATTCACGGGGCTCAGGAAGTTCTATCGGAATAATTTCAGGTAGTTGTAATTCGACACCCTGCTCCTCAAAGGACGTTGACGATCGCCATCTTGAGAAACCTTGGGATTCCCCTACCGGCGATAGACTGAAGGGCGGCGTTGCGAAACTCGAATTTGTCGTGTCCGTTAAGGAATCGGCCGACGGGCTCGCACTAGTTACCACCTGAAATAACAAAAATCAAAATTAAATTGTTGGGAAAAAATTAAACCGATAAGCGTTGTCTATGGGCGAGTCAATAATATCAGCAATTCACATAATTCGATAGTATAATGTGTGGGGTTATTTTTATTGCGTGGTATGCCTGGTGAGTGAGTGGGGAATGAATGAGTGTGGATGTTGGCAACGCTGGTGCGCGAGAGTGGGACGCGCGGAAGTCCCATTATAGGGATTCGTAGGGATAACGGGAATATCAGTACGACACGTGTTCCTTGTCTCAGAGCTTTATTCCGACTGTCGTAGCGTGGCGCTCTACACGGCTGCCACGCCAACTCCGTCTAGGGACTTTCCCTAGGCGCTAGGGAAATGTCTCTAGTGTCCCCTACACCATGTATCGAGAGAGTGTGATGCACACGTGGAGAGAACATTGTGAAAAATATATATACGTTAATTTATTAAATAGAAAGAGGCTCATTTAATTTTACTACCAAATTCCTCCCACATAATGCTTCAAAAGGAAGCTGTGTAGACTTGGAGCAAATGGTGAGTGACAGAAACGAAAGAAAAGCTTCTAAAATTCGTGAATTCACAGATCTTTTATGAAACGATCATTTCTAACCTATTTATGACAATTCATCGAGAGACAATCTCCTAGAAAGATGTGTAAGCAGAGACGGATGTAGGTATAGATTGAGTAGGCTAAAAATTTGCAAAAAAAGTACTTTTACATCTAGGTAGTATTTTAAAATTGTGTGGTTCTCCCCCCACTACTCTTTGGGCGGGAAGAACTTAATTCTGCTTCTGTGTATAGGTAGATATAATTATGAAAGTGGTCTAAGTCATATATTTCTTGTTTCGAGATATTTAATGAATTGCATTTGAATAAATTAAAAAATATTTTTATATTATGCGACAATTTTAATTTAGAATTTTATTAGTCTTGATTAATGGAAACTTATTATGAATATGAAATTTTGTGTGAATTTCATACGAAAATTTTGTTTTTAAAGTTTTAATTGACTTGGACCATTTTCAAAATTAACCGAATGTCCTATAAATAACTTAAAGCAATAAAAAATGAAATTTTTTGAAATAATTCATGAACATTTCTTAATTATTTTTAAAAAGTAATCCATTTTTATCGTTTTAGGCTTTTATCATGAGTTTTTAAGATTCTTGAAATGTTTATGAAAAACTGGAGGGATATAAGGTACTAAACACATAATATCATATATATTAATATACATATATGTATATTCTGTAACTGTTTGTACATAGAGGAATTCAACGTAGTGTTCCACTCTCCCTATGACAAGTAAACGTACTGAAAGTAGAGGGGGAGACCGGACACGACTGCCAACTGCTACACACGCGTGGCACGGCGCTAGCAGAAATACTACTAACTTTCGAGAAAAAAATTCTTTACCGAAAATATAATTTCAAGCCAGAAATGCTTCCTGGAAATGCAAATGTTTAAAATATCATAACTTCTGAACGGATTGGAGGATTTTAATGTTTCAAAAGGCAAACAACGCGTATTTAAATGAAGAATATATAGAAATCGCAAAAATATTCGAAAAGTCGGCCCTTGACCCCGCAAAATGAAAAAAACACCATCAACATGCTCCAATATTCAAACGACCATAACTCTTACGATAATGAATATATTTCAATGAAACTTTTTTCTAAAGTAGAGCTCGTGGATACCTACAAAAAAGTATTAGACAACTTTTCCATAGAGTGACAAACAAAATTACTAAAAATCAAAAACGAATATTTAAGAAAAATCGACAAGGGGGATCCCAAATTTTTCGGCGAAAAAAAAAATTTCGAATAGTTTCCGAAAAATTATCTTCGATTGCAGGGATTAATTACAATTATCTTTGGTGGATAGTCATACCTTCGAAATCCTAACCATTTTCGAGAAAAAAATTCAGTAAGTGGACAAATTTTTCGACAAAACTGAAAAATTCCAAATCGTTCTGGAAAAATTATTTTCGATTGCAGGGGTCAATTACAATCATTTTTGGTGAATAGTCATAAACCCGAAATCCTAACCATTTTGGAGAAAAAAATTCAGGAAGATCGACAAATTTTTTGACAAAATTAAAAAATTCCAAATCGTTCTGGAAAAATTATTTTCAGTTGCAGGGGTCATTTATAATAATTTTTGGTGAACAGACATACCCTCAAAATCCTACACATTTTCGAGAAAAAAATTCAGAAAGGCGTCTAAATTTTTCGACGAAAAAAAAAATTTCAAATCGTTCTGGAAAAATTATTTTCGGTTGTGGTGGTCAATTACAATAATTTTTGTATATAATAATATGTATAAAATCGCGAGGCATAGGACTTTAGAATTTAGAATAACACATGAACTCTATAAGAACATTGAAATTTAAATTATTAACACATGTACATAATTATAAATAAATTCAAGTGTTGTAAATAGTATTGATCTTCTACTTGCTAAATAAAACATCTCCACGAACATAGTGGGGGCCTACATAGGGAGAAAAACGAAAATCTAACACGGAACGTCAACTAACCTGTAAAAGTTTCGTGTCACTCTGATGGAGCGGATGATGATGGTGATGGTATTGATGCTGTTGCTGATTCTGTTGAACAGACCTTTGAGGTGAAATTTGCCACAAACTCTGACTAGTTTGCATCTCTTCTTCGCTGCATGTTTCCTCAATATTTACAGCGTTCCCGAATCCCGATAAATACGTGGGTACATTTTGATAAGCTATTACTTCATTTTGCAAAGTATTTCTCACTAATAAATTGCTAGCCTCTTGATAATTAGCCTCGTCGCCGTTCGACAATGTATTTTCCTCGGAAAACATTTGGGCCGAGCCAGTGATATTTAGACGGGGTCCTTTCAGAATTCCCCGTTTAGGAGGTTTCGGTGGTAATGGCGGGAAAGTCTTTCCTAAATGGCCAGCGACGCTCGTTCGCATTGACGCAGACGTCGTGGTGGCGATGGTCAAAGAAGTTAGGGAAGTTTCCGAGGAGTCGCTTTGTATCAAACCATCTGGTGTCTTATTCAGCGAATTATTCCCAGTACCCGCACTCTGCCCAGAATTTGCTGAATTTTGCGAGTTTTCCAACAGATCGCGATCTAAGTTCGCGAAAAACGAGGCACTGTAGTCCGCGGTTATACCACTTGGTAATTTCTGTTTCTCCTTCCGCCGTCCAGGAATTTTCAACGATCTTCGAACCTGCGATAATAATAAATAATACATAATTATTTAATGCGACAAAAATGGAAATTTGAATGAAGAGAATTCAACGCGAATTTTGTCGAGCCGTTCATAATCTCGCGGGTATAGTGGCGACACCTACAAGGCAGTGATGAACATTCGTGGGAATTTTGGTCATGCGCACTGGAGCGTTGGATCCCAGTAAGGAACAAAATTTAAGGAAGTTACAGGGAAAGAGACAAAAACTTATCTTCGATAAGTTAATTTTTGTGATCGGCGAGCATTTGAAGTAGAAAGTTCAATTTTGTACAAAACATGGGACTTCCCAACATGCATCTCTTTTTGCGCTGAAGATACATCTATGGCAGAAAGCTAACGCATGCGCAGAATGGAATCCCACGAGGGAAAATTCTAGTGCGCATGTCCAAAATTCCCACGAATGTCCATCGCTGCTACAAGGTTGAAGATCACGCGGGGATTCCCGTGGCTTTCGTTCGTGTCGAGTTGTACTGTATTTTATGTTTAACTATGTAATATCCAATGAATAATTAAAATGGTTGTGTTTAATATTTAAATATTAAAGGTGGATTGTATGAATTAGAATTGGTCGGTTGTGTTGTGAGGGTGGATCTGAAAATGGTCTTGGGGCGGAGCTTAAATGTTTAAACATTTTTGGGAAATATTGTTCGGCCAGGGTTATGGTAATGGTTTTATGGTGGTGATTGGTACGTGATGTGTAGCTGTTGGAAAGGTCAAGTTTCATGGCACAGTTCTGGTCGCGAAGAGTGGTAATTGCTGAGCCTAAAAATGCTCGGCTGCTACGACCTTTCTGGAGCTACCTGTGTTGGGGCTCAACAGTAGTCAAGATAATAAAAATAGCTTGAATTCCAATTTTCTCCCGAATACATAAATGAAAGTGTTCTTTAAATGAATATATTTTTAATGCATAGATCGCTTTTGACATCTACTGAGCGTGTTGGAAAGCTCCTGGAGCTCGAAAGGATATACAAGGTGTTCGGCCACTCCTGAGAAAAATTTTAATAGGAGATTCTAGAGGTTAAAATAAGACAAAAATCAAGAATATCAACGAATTGTCTTTTTAAGTCTCGCCACGTGTTGTACTGCTGTATTTTATAAATAAATCTTGCATTTTGTCTTTTACTTAATCTGGATGAAGAACGTTGTTTGAACCTACAAACCAACAGGTATTACGTAGAAGAAAATTGTCGATTGAAAGTGGCATTCACTCTCTGTATTTGAAAGTCTTGTCACAGAAATTTTGATACGCCCTTCTGGATTTTTATAAACCAGGTTTAATGTAAATTAAATTCCTATAAATTGAGTAAGTACGCTGTGTTTACATGGTAAATTTACTGTGTGCCCTTCGCTCTTAAATGCACTATGGAAAGACGAAGAACAGAATAACCTCATTCTTAACTTTCGTTTCATTTTCTTTTGTAATAATTTAGGAAATAAAAATTAACATATTTACAGGGTGTGCTATTCTTTTGTCGTGGACGGTAAATGTCACGTAACATCTGTATAAGGTCAAAACCAGACTCTCAAAGTTAAAAAATCGTGATTTCATCGATGCCTCGTTCTGCTTCTATAAACATCAAATTTCTAGCAAATAAATATTGTATTGAGTCGTTCATAATTTCGCGGCAATAAGCACGTGTAACGGCAAGTATTGCCGGCGTTCGACGCGCCATCTTACGACAACTAGGTTAGTTAGTTTCTAGTCATAGGGATTTTAGAATAAGTAATTGCCTAGGTAATACGACGCACGCCTCACGAAAAGCAAAAGGAAGCGTTATACAATTATTCCTCTCAGTATCGTCGTTAGTAAAAGACGTGTAGCAAAAATAAAGAATTTTATTCAGTGCATCAGTTTGCGTATTTATTCCTCCTGGGGAGACAATACAAACCACCACACACAAGGCGAAAGTGGCGCCACCTATTAGATTGAAGATCGTGCGGGGATTTCCGTGACTTTTGTTCGTGTCGAGCCGCATGGGTCGGCATTACTGTAATTTCTTACATTAAACTATGTAATACTAAAGAAATAATTAAAGTGATTGTGTTCAACATTTTAACATCGTCTATATATATTTATTTAATCAGTTCCTATGCAAGGGGATCTGATATTATTCAAAATATTTTTAAAGTGGCGCCACCTATTAGATTGAAGATCGTGCGGGGATTTCCGTGTCTTTTGTTCGTGTCGAGCCGCATGGGTCGGCATTACTGTAATTTCTTACATTAAACTATGTAATACTAAAGAAATAATTAAAGTGGTTGTGTTCAACATTTTAACATCGTCTATATATATTTATTTAATCAGTTCCTATGCAAGGGGATCTGATGTTATTCAAAATATTGTTAATTTAAGTAGAAATTATAAGATAAACTGTTTATTACTGATACCAAAAATGATGGCCTGGTGGGAGGTGGGCGAGGGGAGCCTTGAAAGCCGAGAGCGTTAAGAAGGGTCGAAGCAATCATTTCGTTACGGTACCGTTTCTTATTTATCTGTAAATGAAGTCAAACAGATAATAGTACATAATATTATACAATCAGATTTTTAATTATAGAAACTTTTACATAAAAATATTAACTAATTTACGGAATAAGAAATCTTTTTACTTTATAACCGTTCAATCTTTTGCCAAGACCAATTGCTGTTAATTTCGCAAAATTTTTATATTGAAAGACACCACGGCATTAACACCTTACCGACCGATAGCCTATTAATCGACTGTTTTACCGGCCAACGCTTACCGACCGATAGCCTATTAATAAACTGTTTTATCGGTCGACGTTTACCGACCGATAGCCGATTAATCAACCGCTACCGGTCGGTAAAGTGTTAACACAGTATTAAATATCACTGTGACAGAAAAAGAAACGTTTTGAAGCTGTGTCTATCATTTTTACGCAGTGATAATCGCTACTGTTTACATTTTCGACTGTAAGTGAAGTAATTGTTTATACTAAACACGGGCAATTTATCATTAACTGAAAATTGGTATGTAATATGAAAACCATTTACGAAAATTCACAATATTATACAGTGTGCTGTCTTTGTATAACAAAGTGTAGATCGTATGTCAGATGATTAATGTTGTCGGTACAGTAAGGTTTATCTGTGAGAAAGAACTCTACTATACAAGTAAAATTATGTTCACCGCGACTAGGGGGATACGCCCCTCGAGTTCGGTCGCCGAGTGTAATCTGATTCGCAATCAAATGCATGGGTGAGAAGATAATCCATATTACTAATGCAATTACAAAACTTTTTTATCTTTTACTTTTTATTTATTTTTAATGCATATTTTTGTTAAAGATGACATAAATCAAACATGACATAATCCTTGGGAAAAATTTTAATGGGAGATTATGGAGGCCAAAATGAGACGAAAATCAAGAATATCATTTTGTTGATCGAGGCTTCGTTAAAAAGTTATTAAAAAATTAAATTTAAAAAAAAAAACAAATTCACGGAAAAATTATTTTCAATTGCAGGGGTCAATTACGATCGTTTTTGGTGAACAGACATAACCCCGAAATCCTACTCAGTCTCGAGAAAAAAATTCCTTATCGAAAATATAATTTCAGACCGGAAATGCTTCCCCAAATTTTCATGCGAACCTTTAAAACGTCATAACTTCTGAACGGATTGAAGGATTTCAATGTTTCAAAAGGCAAACGACGCGTATTTTGGTGGAGAATATGCAGAAATTCTAACAATATTGAAAAAGTTGTTCCTTGACCCAATAAAAAGTGAGAGAAACCTCATAAAAATGATCCAATTTTCAAACAGCCATAACTCCTACAATAGTCAATATATTTCAATGAAACTTTTTTCTGAAGTAGAGCTCATGGATACCTAAAAAAAAGTATTAGGCAACTTTTCTATAGGACGTCAAACAAATTTACTAAAAATCAAAAACGAAGTTGTAAGAAAAATCGACGGGGGTAGGGCCCAAATTTTTCAAATCGCTCTAAAAAAAATATTTTTGGCTGCAGGGGTTAATTTCAATTATTTTTGGTGAATAGACATACCCACGAAATCCTACCCATTTTCTAGAAAAAAATTCAGCACTGGCGGAACTTTAAACGTTAATAACTTTTTAACGAAGCCTTCATCAACAAATTAGTATTCTTGATTTTCGTCTTATTTTGGCCTCCAGAATCTCGCATTAGAATTTTTCCCAGGTGTGGCCGAACACCCTGTATATTAATATTTTCATTATGTATTATATAACTAAATAGAAAAAAATAAGTTGTTAAGTATTATTGTAAGCTATACTTCCGGAAAGCCCCAGTGGACTGATCGGCATAAAATTCGTAGGCGAAATATAAAATGTTAGATTCGGGTATTTAATAGTTGTCGAGATTTTCGCAAAAAATTTTTGCTCCGCATAATTAAATTCTGCCTATACGTATACTTCCTTGGCAACGTGTGCGTAAGTTCGTGACTGCCGCTTATCTGCCGTTTTTCAGGTACAACGGATAAACCTAATGTACATACCTAACCGATTTCAATGGTTATGAATACTAACATAGTATAGGCTATACTTTCGAACAGCATACCACTTCGATCGATGTTGTTACGTATGTACGTATCCTACATGTGGAAACGTTTGGTGGCTTGGGCGTTGGCATGATTATCTACCATTCACCCCCGGGATAGGGGTTGACTCATGCCACGTGTGAGTAACCGGCCCAGTTTTATTGCCTTACATGGTAATTCCCGGCCACTGAACAAGTGCATTTTAGGGAACATAAGGAGCTGAATTTTCATACTCCACAGACAAGCAACATTACTATAGTATTTTCTTTATATAAAGTCAGAACACGTCCACGATATAGGGAAATATCGTATCCCCACTGCGTACCGTTAGAACACAGCACGCGCTTAACGGTCGGGCGTCGAACATTGTCATACGATACTTCAAGCAATTCTTATGCATTCAAAATGGAAATAAGAGTAGAAACTTCGTGAAATTTATTTTTATTTTTATGTGTAAATTAGAACCTTGTTTATCGTCGATTGATCTCTTCGAAATCTAAAGCGAGCTTTTAATTAATATTAATGTGTGAAATTCATGTAATTTATATCAAGTTTATTAGTATGTGTCAATAACCTAACTGAAATATTAATATTGTGATCACAATGTTATTAAATTACCTACAAATATTTTATTCGATAATATGCTGATACTCTCCAAAGATGGTCAAAATGTTATTCGAATAATAGATAATGAACAAAAACTGACATATAGCAATTTATGCATGATGTTTATTGAATTGAACAGTTAAAAGTTTTATTTATTATTCATTCTGAAATATTTCATTTTACAGTATTTTCTCTGTATAAGCTCGGAACTCGTTCACGATATAGGCAAATATCGTATCCCCTCTACTTATCTCCTCTGCGTAGCGTTAGAACTCAGCGCCCCCTATATCGGCGAGTGTGCCTTGCTATGGGCGGTTCCCCAAGATAGCAGCGCGCTTGACGTTCGGTCGTCGAACATTGTCATACGATACGGGTTCAAATTACTGAGGCAACACTAGTGCAATAATACAAATTTTTTATTTTTCCTTTCCCTGTTTTGAAACTTTTAACATGTCTGTGACAGTTTTCTGATTTAACTAAGATCAAGTACAACGTAATTTTTATTATTGTTTTTCATAAATTATAATATACATTTGTCCTTTCTTTAAAGTGTATCCTCATCTGAAAAAAGGAATTGTAATTTAATCGACCTATCATTTATTTGCCGAAATCGTGAGACAACTCCGAGTAAAATAAGTTGGTTAAACAGTTCAAATTCGCAAGTTGTATCTTTTCGAGTCGTATCACTACTGCAGTAAACGAGCGATGCATACATACATGTACCGAAGTTATGATACGATTTAACTAGTACATATAGAATATTTAATCAACAACGAAATTCATCTTTATTTTTTTCAAACTTCATCGACATATTCGTGACACTTTTCTGATTAAAATGACACCAAATACGATATACAATTAACGCAATAAGCGATCAAAGACATGCATCGGTCAGGTGAATCCACGTCGACTATATCGAAACACAGGCGGGCGAGTGCCAAGATGGCCGCTACGAGAGACAGACTGTGTTTATTTATTCGTTATTCTAATCCAAAATAATTAGTGATAATTTCCGTGTTGGGTCTTATATTAAGCAAGTTTTACTATTTAGTTTATTGTGCTAATGTTTTTGTAATAATTATTAGCTAGTAAAGTGTTGGATGACCAACACGACCAAACAAACACCACTCCGTCACCTCGCAAACATTACTCATCCAAAACATCCTAGTCCAGATTTCTAATCCTTACTCATCCTGAACCTCGTACCCTTCCTGAGTCACACTATCCCTTGATCATCGTCCCTACCCCTACCCATCTCCACCAATAACTTATAAACGCCCGCAATACCGAAAACAGTCAGAAAGAGTCTAGTCGTCAGTCGACCTAATCATTGTACGAGTTTCTTCTCTAAAAATAAAGTGTTAGAATCCAACAAAAGCATAAGTAAAGCATAACCTCGGTAGAATTCTCAACATGGTCATGGGTTAGGTTAGAACACGTGTCATGGTAAAACGTAATTAACAAGCAGTATATTGTGTTCACGTGGAGTGATTAAAGTGCAGTAATGAATACACATTAACACGTTGACTGCCAGTCTAAAATCCTAAAATTGTTTACGGGACCAAAACTTTCATTTTAGACAATTGTAAACTACACAACTTAAAAGTTGTCGTAGTAGTTGCTTTCGTAACCTCATTAAAATTTATTTTCTTTAACATTTCAACTTCCGAATTCATTATTACAGTTCTACTGTTAAAAGTTCTGTCACCCATAGGCGATGTTTACGGGAGCCTATACAGAATCAGTATTTCATTCCGCGACCTCTACCAAGATAGATAGAGGTCGGAATTAGAACACCGATTTCGTATAGGCTCGCGTAAACATCGCCTGTGTTTCGCTACAGCCGACTAGAAACGAAGAAAGCGATAGCAAATTCGGCGATTCTCGAGCGCTCAATCCCTCTTTGTCATATGCTCGCTGTTCTTTTCTACACTCGCCGCGTCCAATAGGCGTCAACGAAGTATCAAGAATCGTTTCTCGTCCACGCTATAGCCGAGCGTTGAGCCCCGAGAGCGTCGCTTCTATAGAGATAATACTGTATTTCGTCAATAGATGTCACGTATGAATACTTATTTCATTCTGATTTTCTTACTTCATTCGGCATTTGAGATTTGTCTGTTGTATTTTTATGTAAGTCATAATCAAACTCATGCTATTTGAAAGCTGAATTAATTTCCTGACTGCATATGTGCCTTTCATAGCTAGGTAGCCTTCTATAATCAAAGTTATTATTGTTTAAATTGAACGTATTGCGGTGTATGCATATGTTTTGTGTTATTTAACCCCTTAACCTACGATTTATGTTTCAACAGCCTGGGCCCAAAGCGTCAACAAGATCGCGCAGCCTTCG